CCACAGTGTATACTAATATCATTTCTCTGCTATTTTAACAAACACTTTTTAAATTATTTTATTTATTTCTTTACTTTGAGACACAGACTCACTAAGTTGCTTAGTGCATTTCTAAATTGCTGAGGTTGGCTTTGAATTTAATATTCTCCTGCCTCCTGATTGACTGACATTACAGGCATGCGCCACCACTGTACCTGGCTTACCGAACACTTTATTTTGAAGTGTTTCAGGTGATTTTCATTTTCTGTGTATAAGTCTATATACAAAGTTATCCTACACAAATTAACAACAATCCTGCTTTCACTTTATGTACCTCTTACAGGTTCACTTTCCTAATAATATTAGCTAATTGGTTAGTACTTCTAATACATGAACAGGAAACAACAATAAAAGACAACTTTTCCTCATTTTTGTCTTTACAATTTTTAGCATTTTGCCACCAAATATTATTCTGGCTATTAGTTTGTGATACATATTTTTATCATGTCAAAAGAACACCCCTTTATAAAAGCTTATGCAGTTAGGCACACTATTTTACTTCTATTAAAATGCTGAATTATACTAAGATTTCTTAAACTTTCTTGAATTCTTGAGATGAACCTATAAATTAATTGTTAATATATCCCTTAGAAACCTTGTATTAATATCTTAACAGGAATTTCTCACAATGCCTCTGCCAAAGATTGATATTTGTGTCAGACTATATAAAAAGTTCTAGACCTTTTATTTAACATAGTAATGATTAAAAAGTTGACTCTAAGATAAGATACAATATTTGGATTTAAATTTTGATTTGGTCACTTGCTAACCCTGGATAAATTCTTCAATGAGGTTCAGTTTTCTTATCTACAGAAGGAAAATACTAGGGTTTTTATGAAGTTTAACTGAAATAATTCAGGTGATAGTCTTAGAAGAAAGTTTCTATTGTGTATAAACCTCTTAACTATCATGGATAAAAGCCCTAATGCCTAATAAAATTAGGACCAACAGTTGGTTAAATGGAATAATGAATTAGAGGGAATTATATATATAAAAGAGGATTCAAAGAAACACAATTTAAGCATTTTATTTTCATTGAAAATTTTTAAATATACATTTATTCTCCAATCTTCTGACAAAAGCCCAAGATTTTCTTTTTTAACACAGTATTTATTGAATGGAATTCTACATTAATTTTTTTGCACAAACCACAACCATAATACACATCAACAACTTTTAGTTTGGGTTTCTTGAAATAAAGCTAGAAATTCAAAACACTTTCAACACAACTGGCATGCTAATCCCTTCCAAATTTTTAATTTTTCTTTCTAATTATGCAGTTACTTGTCCATCTCTAATAAAATAGTAATATAAAGTTTTTGCAAAGTACTACATTTGTCTATATTTAATTAAACCATATATATCTGCATAAAAAAATGAAAACAATCACCCACCTCCCTGGTTGACAAGATAAACATTCTTTGACAGGATAAACACATAGTCTTACTAACAAGTGACAGCCTACTAGCTAATAAGCATTTAGCATGCCAAATTATCAAGCTAACATTTATTTATAGAAGGAATGGAGAATATCAATAACCTAATAATTTTGTTCAACAAAAGGCTGGATAAGAAAGTTTCTACTACATTATTTCATTATGGAGTAATTAAAAGAATATTAAAAGTTTTGGTTTCTGAAAGACCTGCAAGATTTCACCTATGAAAATGTTGGAGCCTTGTTCTCTGATTAATGATTTGTCAGCACTATTTCACATATTTGAGTTTTGTATTATGTTCTAGGTTCAAGTTGGGTGAATCAAATGGCATTGGAGTTATTCAATTTTCATTGTATTTCTTTTTTTGGGGGGAAGGGGGTGGCTAGGGATTGAACCCAGGGCCTTGTACATGCAAGGCAAGCACTCTACCAACTGAGCTACATCCCAGCCCCTCACTGTATTTCTTTATACTTTTTTTTCATAATAAGTTACTAGGTTAATTTATATTGCATGTGTATATGAATAAGATTATATCTTAAATGTATTTTTCTACATTTTTCTTATTGAACTCATTAAGTGCCTTTCTTATTCCCTGGATTTATTTTGCTGGTTCTTTTCCCTAGCTTGTCAGGTGAATGTATGATTCATTTAATTTCATTTTCTTAGTACTATGCAGTTGTGTCGTTTAACGACAGGATGCGTTCTGAAAACTGTGTTTAGGTGATTCTGTCGTTGTATGAACATCATAGAGTGTACTTACACAAACCTAGATGGAATAGGTCAATCACTTGACGCGGCCTCTTGATGCAATCAAGAGAGGCAGTAAACACGAGTTGTATGAGGCTGCTGCCAGCGTAACACGGCATACTGTTTTACAGTAAACTTTTTTTATATATAAGTAGAAGAAGTACAAGCTAAAATAACAATAAAAAGTATAGTATAGTAAATACATAAACCAGTAACAGTTGCTCATTATTTTTATCAAGTATTATGTACTTACATAATTGTATGTGCTATAATTTTATATGACTAGCAGCACAGTAGGTTTGTTCGGCATCACCACAAAAGTGAGTTATCTTTGCACTATGATGCCACGACAGTTATGACATCACCAGAAGACTGTAATTTTTCAGGTTTTTGTTTTGTTTTCTTTTGTACTGGAGATTGAACCCAGGGGTGCTTCACCACTGAGATACATCCCCAGTCCTTTTATAATTTTTTGAGACACTGTCTTAAGTTGCTTAGGGCCTCACTAAATTGCTGAGGCTGGCCTCAAACTTGTGATCCTCCTGCCTCGGTCTCCTGAGTTGTTGGGATTACAAGTGTGCACCACAAAATCCAACTCTGCTTCATTATAATGGGGGTCACTATTGTATACAGGTCTGTTGTTGACCAAAACAGACCCTGTATACAAAACAGACCCTGCTATATACATCCCTATATAGCACATGACTATATCTAAGGGTGTAATTTTTTTCTAAAAGCACAGGTTTGAACCATCTGAGCCCATAGTTAGTCTATCATTTTTTAACATATTTAAAATTTTTAGATACTTGAGAGACTGTTTCCATTTTTTACATTAATTTCTAGTTTTATTCTATTTTTATTTAGAGAATATAGTCAGTACTATTTTGAAGTTTACTCTGGTTTTATTTTTCTACTAATATATAACTAACTTTTTTCAATGTTCGATTAGCATAAAAATATATTTCTTAGTTTGGTGAGTATTAGTTCCTCCTGATCATTGTTTATTTGTTGGTCACACAATGAAAGATAAAAGTTTTCCTGTGCATCAAGTGAATTCCTTCTCTCCCTGCTATATAGCTTGGATGGGTCCCACAAATTTCATATGTTGGAAACTTAGTCCTCAAAATCCTATGTTGATGGTATTCAAGAGAAGGGAACTTTGGAAGGTGAATGGATCGTGAGGGCTCTACTTATAATTGGGTTATTCAAAGAATAGTTTTTTATAAAAGCAAGTGCTCTCTACTAGCTTAGTCTGCCTTCCTGTGCCACCTTGGGACTTTGCAGTTTCCAAACAAGCATAAAGGACCTTACCAGATGCAGCTACCCAATCTTGAACTTCCTAGCCTTCAGAACCATGAGCTAAATAAACTTGTATTTTTCATAAATTACCTAGTCTGCGGTATTCAGATACAACAAAAGAAAATGGACAATACTCCCTTCTCTTTGTAATTTCATTATAATTCTGTGCTTGGAAAGCTCCTTGGCCAAGTCTGGGACATATACTTCCATTTTCAAATGAGGCAAATGGCTGAATTAAAGCGGTATTAGTTTCTGGCTTAGGTATTTCTGATTATAGCCAAATTATGTCCAGAGCAAGAGCAGGTTCTAACTTGACACTCATCTTTCGCTAAAGAGCCCTACAGTTAAAAAAACAAAACAACAAAAAAAAAAAAACAACAACTCACCAAAACACCAAAAAGGTTAATACTAAGGTTTTGGAATTCTGGTGTTTTTTTGTTTGTTTTTGTTGTTGTTGTTGTTGTTGTTGTTTTGCAGGGGAGGGTAAACCCCCAAAGAAGGTCTATTTGTCAATGTCAAAGATCTTCTTTTTAAGTTTTCTGTTTCTGAATAATACCTTTAAAATTTATCAGATGAAGTTGTGATCCTTCTGATTAGTATTTGTTACTTTTATGTTCGTTTTGTTCAACTGGCAAAGTAAAATTCTATAAATCTGTGCCTATTAACATTTTTCCTAAGACTTCATCCTTACTCTGAAACTCATGAAAGTCTTATAAGTTGCAAGTTTATATTCTTTTTTTTTTTTTTTAAGAGGGCGAGAGAAAGAGAACTTTAATATTTATTTTTCAGTATTTGGCGGACACAGCATCTTTGTCTGTATGTGGTGCTGAGGATCGAACCCGGGCCGCACGCATGCCAGGCAAGCGCGCTACCACTTGAGCCACATCCCCAGCCCAAGTTTATATTCTTAAATATATAAAAGCAAAGCCCCTTTAAATATTATTTTTAAAACTAAGATGAAGAAAAAGTTAACTTAACATGTATGAATAACCAATTATGAGCTAGATTGTACGATAGGCTCCAAATGGTAAAGACCTATGCTAGTGGGCATATACATATTTTGGTGGGTATACATATATAATATACCATAAATATACCATGGTGCACAGAAAATAGAGTATATCTTTACAGTATTCTAAAACACTTATTTTTCCTTTATGCAATACTTTTTTTTTTTTTAAAGTGCCTACTATTTTTTCTCTCCTATTTTGTATTTACTTTTACCTCCTAATCTTATCTTTAGGGCCTCAAATCCTGTAATTTAACATCCCCTTTCTCCCAAGAAAAAAGAACTAGAGACTTTAAGATCCTTATAGTTATCAAAGAGCCTACATTCTGATTTCTCCTCCATTTAGCAGTCATTAGCCTTCAAGACAACCATGCTGTCCTCCTCCTGCAAAGACAAGCTAGAAAAATTTTTAAAATTCCTATGGAGTATGACATACCCCAATCCCACAAATATTATCATCAGCAGCTTACCTTATTAATTCTAGCTGCGCAAGTTCCTGATTTGCTTGAAATATAGGTTTTTTAGTGAAGAGTTCACCAAGGATACATCTAATGGAAAAAACACCCACCATTAACCAAATGTTCTGATTTAATCCACTACCAAAAGTTTTAAGTAGAATAAACCAATGAATGAGTCTATCTTACCCGCAGCTCCATACATCAATAGCTGGTGTGTATCGTTCCTCTCCCAACAGCAGTTCAGGTGGACGGTACCATAAAGTGATAACTTTGTTGGTATATGGCCGACTAAAAAACACAGAAAGGACCCTTTAGAATTAGTATTTGTAGAAGTAAAAGAGATTGTCTTAGAAAAATATTACTTTGAATTATCAAAGCAGTTCTACAATCCTAACTAAAATCACTTTCATCTGCCCACCAAATGCAGATATATTAAGGCATCTAACAGAGGATTATAAAATGCACCTGAGAGAAACCTGATTAAAAACTTCCTTTATATGTGGAAATTAATAAGAAGTAGTTGACTGTTAAGTGTAATTTCGTTAAAAGGAGGTCATTGTATCAATTCAACTGTTAAAAAATGTTTTCCTTTTCATAAAATATTTTAAAAATTAACTTATTTAAAAGGGAGTTCATTGATTTTGGCCAAATCTGGCAAATTACTAATAGATGACAAGACTCAAATTGGGATTTCCTAACAAAAGTGGTGGAGTAGATTTTTTTTCTTTGTAGTTTGTTGTTGTGGTGGTGGTACTGGGGATTGAATGCAGGGCCTCATGGAGGCTAGGCAAGTGTTCTACCACTGAAGTATACCCCAGCCCCTAACAAAAGTTTTTAACTGTCCAAGTCTTCGACAAAACTGCATTAATTTTGACCCACTCTGGCTTGTGAACAGAGAGTACAAAAATGTAGTCTACAGAAACTGGGGTCTATCCTGCAAAGAACCACTAAAAACAGATATGGCACTTTAATCAGATTTTTGTGTGTGTGTGTGACCAACTAAAAAGAAGACATACATACGGAAACTCTTTCTTTGCCATAGAAGAGATTATCTAGTGAAGTTATATTAGAGTTAAGTTGGACCATCATAGTACAAATTTTGTCTGGCAAAGTCAAAGTCTACGTGATACACATGAAAAAAGAGGGCCCTAAAAAGTCAGATGCTTTTAACCGATCCATGGTTAAAATATACACTTGTGGGTGAATACATACATCTTTATCAATTCTAAATCTTTCTTATATCATAGCAAATTCCTCAGAAACACTATATTCCACGCCCATGTACCAGGGATTGGCTTGGATTTGGACCAGTTTGGGGAAAAGAAACATACAACTTATAAAGCAATTCCCTCTTGCCAAATATAGACCTGAAGTCCCAGACATTGAAAGATACGTCTAACTTGCTCAGAACCCACACAGCCACATTTCTCCAAATACTTTTAAACACTAATAGTAAAGCCATCAATCTGGGCATCACAGCATTATCATAGATAGGAATGCATTAACAATGTTTCAAAGACAGAAGAAAATTTAGATAGCTTTGGTAAAAAACTTAAAAGTCTAGATGTAAATCTGTAATGGCAAATTAGGATTAGACTTTTCTAATATTAATGTATTTTTCTTAGTCATTTTTGTTTATTTACTGGAATAATGAGGAAGAACCTTGATCTTTAGCTACTCTAAATCATTCTGTAAAAATGTTTACCTTTTTATGCTTTGCTCCTTTGAAATTTTAAAACCCTTCCCAGTTTTTCTCATTTAAATCCTGTACTTCCTTCACAACATAGTCAAAAATCCATCTCCATAAATTCTAATTTCTATTCATAATAATTGATCTTCATATACTTACCACTGTCTTCAACTCTCTTATATTTTCTATCTTCCCAGGAAGTCAAAAGAACCCATACCATTCTTTAATATGAACCCTCATACAAAGCCCAGAACAAGGCCAGACACAGGGCAGGCACCTTAATGTATGTGGCCCTGTAACTTTAGGTGACATAGATAAAATTAGCTGGATGGGAGAACAAAACTGAGTATCATGATGAGTAGTTTCTAAGATATTTCAAGGGTCTATAAGCATTTGAAAGTTATAGTCATGTTATGAAAGTGCAACTGAATAGCTAAGTCTAAAATGTTTAAATTAATATAAATCTATCTGTAAATAGTTAATTTTATTTTTACATAAAAAGCATACTGAATTTCAGAAACTATACAAATTCAGGTTAAATTTTATTGAAAAGGAATATTTAAATAAAAGATCATTCTATACACTATATCCAAACTCCAGGAAATATTACATAGTCATCTTTAACAATTAAAACTAGCTTAATTTTTAATGACCTCATCAAATTCAGAACAGTTCATTTTCAAAAAATGATTAAATGCAAAACGAGATGAAATATACTTCTAAGCATACAGCAAATATATTTAATGTATATATATTACTGGCTTTTCTGAATATTTCTAAAAATTAGTTTCTGTTACAAATTTTCTATCAGTTTAATGATAGATTCCAATGTGTTGCCTCTACAATCCTAGGAATTCTAGAGATTGGAGGAGAAGGAAAGGGAAGATGAAATATGGTTATGGTCTTCCCTACCTTAGGGCTTTCAAGATTATAAGAAAGGGGGAAAAAAGAGTCATATAAAAGAATATACTAAGCTAGCTATAAAAGGTTTAATTTTTCCCACAACACATATAATAAAATCTGTACTGGTTCTTTTATATTGTAATTTATAGTGATTTTGAATCAAATAAGGAGAGCCACAGTTAACTGGAAAGCAAATCTGGGATTTCTATTATCCTATCTAGCTTCTGTGATCAAAAATCCAGGAGTCATTCTTGATCCTCTTTCCCTTAAATCCTAAATCTAACTCAACAGCTATAATCTGAATCAGTCATTAATATCATTTCATTGGTACTAATGTATCAATCCCTTCACTGGCTTCCTCCCTCCAACCCTAACCTTCCCTCAATTCTTTTAAAAACTTTTGTTATTGCTGTCTTTAAAGCATAAAATCAGATCTTATCACCTACTTGTTTTAAAGTATTTTAACAAGATTTCCCACTGCAACAAAATAAAATTTACCTCATTTGATATCATTGTATAATGATATCAATGTACACCAACTACTATCAGGCTGGGCATCTTTATGACATTTAAACTTTCCAAGTCTATTCCCAGGCTATCCACTAACTCAATATTTCTACTTTTTAATTCCTATGTTCTTTGCCCAGGCCTTCTTCAGGTTTTTTCATTCTCATCACTCAGGTCTTACCTGCAATTTAGTTCCTTAAAGAGGTCCATCCTAAATTGCCCTAGAGAAAATTATCCTAGCTACCACCATCATTTTCCTATATGGGTTGTATAGTCACTATTTTATTTGCTTTGTAGTACGCTTATTATTTTATATTTTAAATTTTTTCCTTTGTCCCACCCTTTCAAAACTTCTCTTATCACCATATAAATAAGTTCATCTCTAATATCTAGCCAATAGTATTACTCAGATCCATGTCTGGCATAGAGTAAACATCTTTAATTGACTGACTTATGCCATAACCACATAACAACTAACATAACCATTTTTTGCAGTTCTCCTTTTCTATTTTCAATTGTTTCCCAAAGAAAAATAACTTTTAAATCCCTGGATTAACATATTGTTATAGAAAAATAAGACTAATTTTTTCCAATTGATGCTTATTAAGATCACTTGTCCATTATTATGCATGCAGATTTGTAAGTCCTACAAGTACCTACATCAAAACACATCCAAAAGTAAATTTATTACCTTTTGCTGCAAATTGCTTCTCTCTTCCTGCTTCCTGTCTCAGCAAACAGCATCACCATTTGTGGCAGAGAACGATAGTTGTCCTCTAAAATTTGTTATTCCTTTTTTCTATGGCAGCCGCCCAGCTATGCTACATTTCCCAGGCTCACTGTGGTGACATGTGCCCATATGACAAATGCTCTCCAATGGAATGGGAATACATGTGATACATGCCATTTCTAGGCCTGGCTCATCATAACGTTTCTCCCTATTTTCTTACTTCTGGCAACAGCCTTGGAAGGCATTTGTAGAAGATGGCAGATCATCCAACCTGGTTTCCTGGATCACTATATGAAACAATCATCATTTGACCTGATGATATGGTTAAATATTAATGGTAAATTAGGTAAGCAACAATTATTTGATATCATTAAGTGAGAAATATAAATTCTCATTCTTTATACGGCTAATTTTGAGGTTATTTTTGTTAAAATAGGCTTAGCCTATCCTAACTAATAAACCATTTATCCAGATGCTATGACAGAAACCTTATAGTAAGAGAGGAGACTGGATTGTGGCTCACAACATATTTTCAATCACCAAGTTTTAATAATTCTCCAATATATACTTACGATATAATTTATCTCTGATACCTATGCCCATTCCCTAGTTTCAGCCAGAATCATCCTATCTAAATTTAATGTAATAGTTTTCTAACTGGTTGTCCCTGTTTCCAGATTTAAAAGACCAATTCTCTTTCCAAAGCACAGTCAAACTGATAGTGTAAGACATAATGTTAATGTGTTACAATTTTAGTATTACTTCCTCCTGGTGAATATCCACAGAAGATATATAAAATAATTTATTTGGTTCATGACCCAATCACATTGAACTTTTGGTTCCCTGAAATAGCTAAGCAAATGAACAATTTCTAAAGCAAGCAGATAAAGCCAAGGTAGATTGTTCAAGAAGTGAGTGGACTTTTAAATATGCTTCAAATATTTTCAATAAACTGGTTTCAAAAAAAAATTCATGAGATTTACTCAAAAACTATGCAAAATAGGTACTATGCCTCACTTTCTACCTTATTATTTGATGAGAAAGAAGAAAACACTGAGAAAGTATACAGACAGAATGACTGCAGTCAAAAGGAAATTTCAAGGTAGGCAGAATTAGTAGAGTACAGGACAATTTTGTGCATCATCCCATTCAACAGTTTATAGTATTATTGAGAAAATATTCATGTTATCACTAAGACATTGTGTTTATAAATGTAAAGACAAAAATTGAGAGATTGAATTATCTTTTGAAGCCTTCTGGCTAACGTCTAAATCCCAGGAAAATTAATGCACTGTTATAATATGAGAACAGATCATCCAAAAGTAAGTAAATGAAAACTCAAGAATCCTCAAAAATGAACATTCCAAACTTGGGTCTTCTGGGTTTAGCCACCCAATGTCAACATCCTAAAGATCTCACACACACACACACACACACACACACACACACACACACACA